TGTGGGGGCCCCCCGGGTGGGCGCCCGGGGGGCCGCCCCCCCCGCCGCTCTCCGCTGGCTTCTCAGAGTCTCCATAGAGCAGAGCTGGACAAGGACAGGGAGCACGAGGCCCGAGTCAGTAGGCGACAGTCCGGGCTCCCGCATCCCCGCCCACCCTCAGCCCAGGACTCGGCCGCTAGCCCCCCGACCTTGCCCGCCCTTCTCTCCAGCGCACCACCACTCACCGCACAGCTTGTTTCCGATGCCGCCGGTGAACTTTTGAGCTACCTGGCACCAAGCTCTCGCTGCAATCGCCAGTCGCGGGGGACCGCGAAGCGGAAAGAGAACAGACGGGCGCGAGTGAAATTTCGTTCCAAGTGAACAAGGGCTTTAAGTCAGGAGTGTGGGAACCCGGCGCCAACCCGGTGAGCGGCCGCGGGAGACTCTGCTTCCAGCAAGCAGGTGAGGGAGCCCGCGGGAACCCGACTCCAGGGCCAGCCCTGGCTTCACGGTGTCCCAGGAAGAAAACCACACCAAGGCCCATCGCACTTGTTCGTCAGGTGCACAGGTTTCCACACTCCCCTACCCGCTGTGGCACCAGAGCTGCCTTTCCTAGACACTAAGCCCCCCATTCAGCCGCTCTTGCCTTCCAGACCCTAAACTCTCTCCCTTTCCCATTTCGTCTTTCTTTGCCCCACTCCTTCTCTGCCCCAGGTCTAGAGGTCCAGACTCCCGTCGACTCCCGCAGACGCTGAGGTTTTTCAGGGCTCTACACTTAGGGGAAGGGGCCGAGACACCCTGGGTCTCTTCCCAGGGGACAAAAGGCTGCGGAGGTTTGGGGTTCTCATAGTTAAGGACTTAACCCAGACAGCAGGGCTAAGCGCCCGAATAAGTTTCCTGTTGCAGATGTCAAAGCTTTGGTTATATGCGTAGCCCTGCAAACCCCAAGCCACCTACAAAGCTCTCCCGCTGCAGGTCCCGATTGTCTTACCTGTGCCCGGGTTCTCGGGATCCCCAGAGCCATCTTCAGATCCGAAGGACCAAAAGCCGGAGCCGGGAGAGGCCATGGGCTCTGCTAGACTGGCGCCGGTCGCCTCCGAGTGGCTGCGGGAGAGCTGCCTTTGGCTCGACCCTGCACGCGCGTGCGTGCGTGTGTGACTGTGTGAGTGTGTGTGTGTGTGGCAGGAGGAGGGCAACGCGCAGGGACTGGCGCCTCCGCGCGCGACGAGGGTGGGTGTCACACAGGGACAGAAAACGTGCTGTCTGCCTGTGTTGGTGCTCGTGCCTGTGTTCGAGTCAGGGCGTAGGGACGCGGCTGTGCTGTTCGTAAAGGTTAAATGGGGAAGTCGCCAGGATCCTCGCGGTCTGGAGAAAGTGGAAAGTAGAAAGGGCCCGAGAGATTTTGAGGGAGAGGGAGCTCGGTGGGGAGATGATGAGGGAATGACGGAGGGGAAATGGAGGAGCTGGATCGTGAGGTGTGAGGCTGTGCGTTCTAGTGCGAGTCAGATGCGGGGGAGGGAGGCGTGCCAGCGCAGCGCTGACACAGCCACAGGCGCTCCCTGCCCGCTTCAGGGATGCGCTGTCCAGGGTGCTACCGCAGCCCGATGTTCTCTGCCCTCGGTGACCGGGAGACCTGAGAGACCTTGGCGAGGCTGGAAGGGTGACCGAGACCGATTTTTACGTGCGCATCGATTGGTTCATTGTTTGAGGTCCGGCTCTGGCTGCGGCCGAGCAAAAGCGGTTCTCGTGCGGGCCTTTCTCCCAACTCGCGCCTAGGTCGCTGTGACCTCAAGAGCTCAGGCCACCTGGCCGCAATCAGGCACAACTTCAGAGCATGGGGAAGGTATCAAGAAGGGAGGGAGGTGGACCGCCTACAAGCCGACAGACTTCATTTCATCTTTGTGGCAGAGCCTAACGTCTGCCTGCTGAGCTGAGCCAGCCCGGGGGGCAGGGAGCACAGCTCCTGTGCAGCCATGCGCTTGGTACCCGGACCCACCGATCAGATTTTGACTGACGGCTGAAGAGAAAGACTGCTGATTGAAGCAATTAAAATCCACGCTGGAGTCTTATCACTGAGGACCTCGGGCTGGGAAAAATTAAATAAATAAAACGAACAGAAACTTCTTGAAAAGGAGTGGGGGAGAGCTGACACAGTCCACAGATTGATGGTTGATGGGGGAGGGGATCCGCCTACTAGGTGACCTTGGCCCATAGAGGCGTGAAACAGCCTACTGCTGACGCGTGACTCGAGGACGCGGGTGCGTAGGAGAGGTGCAGGGAGTTTCCAAGTAGGCAAACCAGACTTTCCAAATCCCAGGAGAAAAGGCATCCCCTCTTTTTGGGGGGACTCAAACCAATACCCTCCCCCTCCCAAAAGGAATCCTTAAGGTCGGGATAGCCTAGGAACATAAAATTGGCAACTTCCAGGCCCAGGGAGCAGTAGTTCTGCTTTTTCTATAAGAGGAATGAAACAATCCTTTCTGTTTTAATTTCCATAAAGGTTCTTACACAGGGGCGTCACCTTGAGGATTGGGGCGACTTCTTCGCTCTTGCCTAGGCTCTAACTATGGCTCCTCCGGTTTACAGGGAGCTCCAGAAGGACAGTCAGGAAAGTGCTGGTTTCAGCCGTCCCCAATCGCCTTTTCTGGGCGCCCAGAGCTAGCGTCAGCCCTTTCTACAGTCTCCATAGCCCTTCGTTCCTACTCTGAGTTTTTAAACGATGCGCCAAAGCTGTTGCCAGAACAGGGACCCTAGAGCCTTCAGTCTTGGCGACCAGGATGACTTATTTTGTTAGAGATCTCGGGTGGCGGGGAAGATGCCCAAGACTTGACTCTCCAAGTGCGTTCTCTCCACAAAGCTTTATCTTCTTCCCATGTGCCCGGAGCCAGGGACCCATGGAGTCAGTGAATGACCACTGTGGCCGCAGGATTCAGGGTTGCAATTGGCACTGTTGGGGTGCCACCCGAGACAAGAAGGAGGAGCATGGTCAGGGAAGGCTGTAATCTTGACCCTAGGCCTCAGTTTGGTCAGTCTTTAGGGCACTGCTGCCTGGTAGCTTCAACTGGCAGAGGCAACAGCTCCTGGAATCCAACAGCTCCTTGGCTCCAATGTTTGCTGGGCGCTTGCTCCATCAAGCCTTGCCGATATGACTCTGAGAGCCTGGTTCTTTGTTTAAATCCCTACCAAATCCTGCAAATAATTTGCTTCAAGCCAGCTGGCTGGGGTTGAAGCTTTTTTACTATGGATGAGTGGTCTGAAATAAAAAAGGTTCATACACACACACAGACACAGACACACACACAGAGACACAGACACACACACACGAACACACCCATCTTCCCAGGGAGAAATAGATGAAAAGGAAGAATCTCAACATTTGAATTTAACTTCTTCAAAAACAGTGACTTAAACGGCGTCGTTTAAATGCAATTAAAGCTCACAGCCCTGAGTATTTTTAAATCAAATGGTGGTGTTTACATTAAAAAAAAATTTTTTTTTGCTACTCCCCATTTCAGATGCAGGTGGGATTGGGTATGTCTTTTAAAAATCCATCCCTTTCTAGACAGCAATTTGCTTTGTAAATTTTTTCATTTCCCCAAAGAGCCCATCTCCCCCTCTCCCCTTTTGCTCTGGTTGGCGATAACAAAACAGCACAGGGAGGTAATAATTACAGCCATTAGTTGACAAAGGAGGCAGCGCAGACTGGGAAGGGAAGGCTGCTGCTGGAGGAAGGCTTTCTAATGCTTCCACTCTACTGTGGGAGACCCACACCAAATCTCCAGCATAGACAGAAAGGTGTCCTGGGACGACCCATTTCTTGTCCACAGTGCACCCGTGGCAGGTGGGGACAAGGAAGGGAATTTGGTATAAGTTTTCCCCGTGTCCTTTTGGTGCTTAAATGTGGAGGAACCGCGGAAGTATAAATGGAAAGAAAAATGGATGAAAACAACCACAACATTGCAATCTTCCACCAAGATCTGGCTATTTCCCTTTCCAGTCTTAACCTGGAGTGCAGAGGCTTGGGGTAGTGCTGTTTATCGTCTCTCTACCCAGAAATTAATATGCCTTTGCAGATACACTTGGGAAGACTCCTGTATTCAGGGGCCACTGAAAGCTAGGATTGAAGGATGGGTCTGGCATCGAAGCAGGGTTCCTCCCTACAGCCATCACCTGCTCTAGGTGGAGCGCTGGATCCCCAGGAAGCCTAGGCAGCACCTGGCACCCTACTCCCATCTCCCCCATATTGGCCGTAAGCCCTGCCGTTCCGGTTTCTAGTGCCAGGTACAAGTCCTAGCGATCAATCCGTGGGTCGTCACGGTGACTCCTCTGTCAAGTCTGTTTTTCGGACCCCAAACCGGAGTGGAGCTAACTAGGGAAGGAACAGCGGGAAGGAGAGTGCAATCGGATTTGGGGCTTGGACCCGGTGATGGCAGGAGGCCTCTGCTCAGCTGGACCTTATTTGTAAGGTACCGCACTGGCTGCACAAGCCCCTGTCCTGTCCGGGGAGCTTTAGAAGCTAACTCTGCAGGGATCATGACAACTCCCTGGCACAAATGTTATCAGTGCTGCCACTCAGTCCTCCCTGGAACTCTGTCAGCACCTTCTTTACCCACTCAGAGAGGAGTGGGCCTGGAAGGTGTCTTTCATGGAAGGGTTAACCTGGAGCCTGGAGCTTTTTTCTGTATTTATTTTTTTTATGATAAGCTAAGTCAAGTGGTGAGGAAACTCCTTCCTCCCACCCAATGTCCTTTTGCTCACTTGTATGTGTTCAGCTTCTAATGGGGGGGATACTTCAAATCTGTAGATTAAGAGACCTTACAAAATTTGACAGTTCCCAGTGTGAGACCAGTGCCAGTGTGGGTTGGCTGCCCCGGGGAAGGCTGGGCGAGCCAGCATGGGTCTGGAGGTCCGACCAAGATTCTAGGTAAAGTTTAAGGTACACTGTGCTTGAGAGTTACTGGGGTTGGGAATTTGCTGCTGAAGACAGAAGTCATCTCAGTTTCTGCCACCAGCCCAGCTGCAAACCAGAGACAGAGGCCCCCAAGGCACAAGGCAGACAAGCCCTTGTAAAACACACTTGCCAGGATGGCTACTTTATTTAGCAGTATTAATAATCAAGAGAGGAGAAAACCCAAGTTTGAGATGAGTTCACCTTCAGAGTTCTTTCTACTGCCACCTTGCCTTTGTTTTGGCATACCCGATCAAGAGTGTCTGTCCTTTAGGTCCCGGAAAGTCTTTTCAAGAAAGAAGAAATCTCTTAATTCATTTAAAAATCAGCAAAGGGATGGTGACAGCTCAGGCACAGTGGATACCCGAATCACAAACAGCGGAATAACTGGTACATTAGGGCAATGGAGGTGATGGGCAGGTGGGAAAGCCTGGGGGTCCAGTATCTGGAACTCCCCAAAGGGGTTTAGATTCTTTTCGGTCAGGCCCTTGAGGTGGCCATAGTATTTGAGAGGGAACAGAGCTGGCAGACCTTCACAGGCTTCAGCGCCTGAGGGTTCCGGTTTGATAGGGTGCCCCACTGCAGCTTTGGTCCTTGTAGCATTTCAGGGTCCAGCAGTTTCTGAAGCTCCATAGGTATGCTACAACTGCTGCACCAGGCGCTGGCGCTGGGAGGTTTTTCGCAGGAGCCTTCTGTAGTCGTAGGGGTTGTCCGAGATCTCCGCGCTCCCCTTGGCAGTCCAGCACCTGCAAGTCAGACAGGGTTCTCACAGTCAATGGCAACTGCTCAAAGCAGCCAGTGACTTTGCTTCCACCCTCCCAGGGCTAGGTGCTCCTCTTCCTTGAGCTGTCCACCAACCACAGACATTTAAGATACAATCAAAATGTCAGGCTAAATGACCCAATGTAGCTAGCTGTAAAAACGTTCGGCAGTTTTGCAGAGTTGAAACCAGTGGCTTTGTGTTCAGATGAGAGCCAAGCAGCCAAGCACTAGAAGGTAGAGATCACAAAGGCTGGCTTTGTTTGGAACAATAATTCATGGCTAATAAAGAAACACTTATTTTAGTGTCTTATTTATTTATTTATTTAAAAATACTTTCATCAAACAGGAAGATTCAAG